AGAAATGGCTCACACAATTGTGGAGTCTGGCAAGTCCAAAATCCATGAGTCAGTCTGGAGGATTCTTCCCACTCATGTGGTTGCAGGGGTTGACTAACCCAAATTGGCAGGTCAGATGAAAGGCTGCTGGCTCACAAGGCTGTTGGAGCTGATGAGTCAGGTCAGACAATAAACTGCTGGCTCAAGTCCAAGAACTGGAGGTCAGATGTTGATGAGCTAGATGTAGGATCCAGAGAGAACTTTGCCAGAGCACTCATGTATATTGGATGCAGATCACACCCTCAAAGAAACTAAGGGTAATGACTTGGGTCACACTCTATAGTAAGGTATAACTCAAATATATCCCACCCTAATCCTGCCTCATTAACATAAGTGAGAACTCATTCCAAAATGGAGCCATAACCACAGGCATGGAGGCTAGGATTTAAAATGCATCACAAAATGGAGACTATGACCCATGCCATGGTATTTTCAATAGCTTCAATAGCCTCATATGCATGTGAAAGCTGGACAATGAATAAGGAAGACCTAAGAACTGATGCATTTGAATTATGATGTTAAGGAATAAGCTTTAACCATTCTGTAGAGATTTGTTTTGTGTTTGCAAAAGTTAACTTCAACCTTGAATGCTATTTTAATAAGATTTAATTTGAGACATAAGAAAGATTTCTTTGATTAGGTTGCCAACACTCCCATTAAATATATGTATATGCTCTCACAGAGTTTGTACAAGGAAACCATGGATTTCATTCTTCATTTAATCCTTAAACCATCTTGAAGAAAAGCCTCTTTTTTAAAAAAGTGTTTAGTACACACGTAGGTTTTGTACCCAAAATGATGAAGTGAATCTGTTTCTGTAGTTTGCCTCTATTGTCAGTATTAAATAGGAACTGTGCTTAATCATAAGCAAGAATTATAGTAGTAAAATATATTTGTGCTAAGGAGGTTGGGAGAATATATATGAGTTATTTCAATTAAATGTGTACTTCCACTTGGGAGAGTGAATACTTGTTACTATATGGCTTTTTTTGGTCCTTTTGGTTATTACTAGTCATTTCTAATAGTCAGTCCCCAAGAACTGAGGGAATTTCTTTCCTCATCAGAGTTCAGATTTAGTTCTGGTCTGAAATAAGCAACCAAAAGTTAAAAAGTCAGCATGTTTGAAAGGTCAGCAGCATTGTCCTATAACAAGTGACTGTTCTTTTTAGGAACAACAGTGCTCCGGAAATGATAAGGTTAGGTGCATTAGAAACTTAACTTCATACATTATCTGCAATTTCTTAAATATTTGGTGAACAAACAACATACAAAAATTTCACTAGAGATTGTCATGCCTTTAAAAATATCATGGTTTCATGCCTAAAATTACTGCCCTGAGATAATCTTTAATAACCCTTTCATGACAGCATTATTTTCTGCTTTGAATTATTTGTTAATCCCATATGTTTTCAGTAATGGAAGGCATGCTAAAATCAAGATGGAAAAAAAAATTTTTTGAGGTAATATGGATTTTGATACAATTATAGTGATACAATTATACACATATGTCTCAAATGGCCTCTGGTAGTAGGCTTGGTGGTTTAAGACCCCTGTTTCTTCAGATTCACACAATTATACAGGTCCCTGCCAGGCAGTAGTATGCTACCTGAGATAGCAGCTTCCCCAGAAACCTGAGAGGCTGAAAATGGTGGTAGGTAATATATGTCCCATGAGTCATGAAAAAGTTAAAACTTAACCAAAAATATTCCTTGAAGTCTTCGTAAAACCAAACAATAGTTTAGCTTAACTAAAAAAATATGTCTGCCTTGAGCATTATCCTTTTTTAAGAACTGTCTGTGTGGAATCAAATTGACAACAGCAACTTGAAAGATTAGTTAGAAGCCTTAATGGGTAGTGAGTTTATATTAACAGGGAAGGACTATGCAGAAATGGAGGATGAAAATCACTGCACAACTCAAAGAATGTAATTGATGTCAATGAGTTGTACATGTAGAAACTACTGTGTTTGTGTCAGTTTTGCTGTGTATATTCTCAGCAACAACAAAATAAATATTTTTTTAATGCCATGGTTTCTGATGTTGTTTATAACCATTGTAAGCCATTATGACTTGTCTGCTTTGCTTACCTAAATTTTTCTGTCCATTATATTGTAGTTAACTTCCTTTATGTCACTCAGATATATTGCTTCTCTGATATTTGTTACTCTCTCCATAGCTATTTGAAGCTTTGCACACTGGTAAACTAACAACATAACCCAGACCATGGACAGTTTTAAAGGCCCACAAAATTCATACATGAATTTTTAAATTATCTAAAGTGATTGACGGGAGCTCTGGTAGCATAGTGGCTACGGCACTTGACTGCTAACCAGAAGGCTGGCGGTTCAAACCCACCAGCCACTCCCCGAAAAGAAGATGGGGCAATCTACTTCCGTAGTGATACTGCCTCGGAAACCCAAGGAGGGGTCGCTATGAGTCGGGTCTGACTCGATGGCACATAACAACAACAACAACAAAGTGATTGACAGAATGATTCTAAAAATCCTTCTTGTAGCTCAAGAACATTTATGATGTAAACTTCACAGCCCATGTGTTGTGAAAAATAGCATCAGAATTTCTATCTTTATCTTTTAATGAAAATTAAGTATTTGTAGGGGAGGAATGTTTCAACAAATGAATGCACAGAAGTACAAATTCATTTGTGCCAAGAGATTTGGAATACAGCTACCTGATCAACCAACTGGAAGAGATCTGTATTTGTGCCCATTCCAAAGAAAGGTGACCCAACAGAAAGTGGCAATTATCTAATGATATCATTAATATCACACACAAGTAAAATTTTGCCAAAGACTATTCAAAAATGGTTGCTACAGTACATAATTAGGGACTGCAAGAAATTTAAGCTGGACTCAGAAGAGGACATAGAACAAGGGATATCATTGCTGATGTCAGATGGTTCTTGCCTAAAAGTAAAGATTACCAGAAAGATATTTAGCTGTGTTTTGTTGACTATGCAAAGGTGTTTGACTGTGTTGATCATAATAAATTATGGATAATATTATGAATAGATGGGAGCTCTGATAGCGTAGTGCCTAAGGCACTTGATTGCTAACCAGAAGGCTGGTGATTCAAACCCATCAGCCACTCCTCGGAAGGAAGATGGGGCAATCTACTTCTGTAGTGATACTGCCTCGGAAACCCAAGGAGGGGTCACTATGAGTCGGGTCCAACTCGATAGCACATAACAACAACAACATTATGAATAGGAATTCCAGAACACTTAATTGTCCTCATAGACTAAGAAGCAGTCATTTGAACAGAACAAGGGGATACTGCATGGTTTAAAATCAGGAAAGGTGTGCATCAGGGTTGTATCCTCTCACCATACTTATTAGCTCTGGTGGCATAGTGCTTAAGTCATTTGACTGCTAACCGGAAGGTTCAAATCCATCAGCCACTCCTTGGAAGGAAGATTGGGCAATCTACTTCTGTAGTGATACTGCCTTGGAAACTCAAGGAGGGGTTATAAGTCAGATCAAAGTCGATGGCGGTGAGTTTTGTTTTTTTTTTTTTTCCCAATCTGTATACTCAGCAAATAATCCTAGAAGCTGGACTAGATGAAGAAGAACATGGCATCAGGATCGGAGGAAGACTCATTAACAACCTGTGATGTGTAGATGACACAGCATTGCTTGCTGAAAGCAAAGAAGACTTGAAGTACTTACTAATGAAAGTCAAAGACTATAACTTTCAGTATGGATCATACCTCAACATAGAGAAAATCCTCATAACTGGACCAATAAGCAACATCACGATAAAGGGAGATAAGGTTGAAATTGTCAAGGATTTCATTTTACTTGGATTCACAATTAACACCCATAGAAGCAGCAGCCATGAAATGAAATGATGTATTGCATTGGGCACATGTACTACAAAACACCTCTTTAAAATATTAAAAAGCAAAGATGTCACTTTGAGGACTAAAGTGTGCCTGACCCAATACATGGTATTTTCAAGCATCTCTTATGCTTATGAAATCTGGGCAATGAATAAGGAAGACCAGACAAGAATTGATGCCTTTGAATCATGGTGTTGGTGAAGATTATTGAATATACCCTGGACTGCCAGAAGAATGAACAAATCTTGTCTTGGAAGAAGTGCAGCCAGAATGTTCCGTAGAAGTGAAGATGGTGAGACTTTGTTTCACATATTTTGAACGTGTTGTCATGAGGGACTGTTGTTGTTGCTGTTGTTATGTGCCGTTGAGTCGGCCCCAACTCATAGCGACCCCTCCTTGGGTTTCCAAGGTGGTATCACTACGGAAGTAGATTGCCCAACCTTCCTTCCAAGGAGTGGCTGGGGGATTTGAACCACCAGCCTTCTGGTTCTTCCTCTCATTTCAGTCCTTTCCTTTGAATAATTTGGCACTCTTGGAACTCTATTATTCCAAAAGTTATTATAATTACACTCTATACACCTCTAAAAAAAATGTTTCTCTTTTTTTAAAAAAAAAAAACACTCTTCAATTGGAAATTGGAAAACATACTAGATATTTACTGATATTAAGAAAATATTGTTAATTTTTTAAAGTATGATAATAGTTACAGAAGGAAGATTGGGCAATCTACTGATATGATAATAGTTATGTTATTAAGTTTATTTAAGTCATTACTTTCCAGAGACATACTAAAATATTTATAGATGACAGTATATAGTATCTGGCATTTGCTTCAAAATAATATGGAAGGCAGAGATGGGTGGGGTGTAGAAGAAATAAGATTGGTCATAAATTTATAATTGTTATAGCTTAATGATGGTTTCTGAGAGGGTATTGTGCAGAGGTTACTGTTTACTTTTGTATATGGTTAAATTTTTTTTTTTAATCACTTAATAAATGTTAAGGTCTCTCATTTTGATCATAGGAGCTAATTCCTTAATCTAATAAAGTTCTGCATTACCATACTGGTTATAAGACTTTTTTTTCCTCCTTTCTGTTAATAGACAGAAGATATTAAAGAGATAGCCAGAATGACACAAGCCCTACCAAAGATGAATTTGAAGAGGCCGCGAATTGTGATCTTCACCCAAGGGAAAGATGACACTATAATGGCTACAGGTACATGTGGGAGCTGTGTGAGAGCCCCAGTGTTCTGGAGATTTATCGTTCATAACAAAATTCTATATTCTTCTATTATAATGTATTCAAAGCAACATACTTTTTATAGTTTTTATTTTAATAAATATATCTAGCTTCTGTCTCAGTAAGGAGCTCTGGTGGCACAGTGGTTAAAGCTTTAGGCTGCTAACCAGAAGGTTAGTGGTTAGAACCCACCAGCTGCTCCACAGAAGAAAGAGAAAGCAGTCTGCTTCCATAAAGATTTACAGCCTTGAAAGCCCAGTGGGGGTTGCTATGAGTTGGAATCAACTCAGTGGCAGGGAGTTGGGTTTTGGTCTATCTCAGAAGAAAAGATTTCATTTTCTAAGATAATTTATTAAAATTCAGTGGAGTAGAACTACTTTTATTTTGTTTATTTACTTTGATATTTTGGATTAGAGATTTTTCAGTCTAAAAGTATCTTTTCTGGAAAACAAAAATACATTTTATTTATTTAATATCTGTGCTAGAATAAAGTAAATTTACCCAGTTATGAACAAATAAAATCCAGAAATAAGTTATTCCTCAATCTTTCCTTCAAGAAGAAAATCTCATTTCTGCTTGTTCTCAGCTGTTTATTCCATAACTCACAGAAATAAAATAGGAATTTCATCTAGTAAACAAATATTCTATTGATTAAAATTATTAGTATTGTCGCTGTGATGCTACTTGTTAGCTACTTAAATCAAAATGTAAACCTTTTAATTCTGTCTGAAACATTCAGATTAAATCCAGTCAGGTAATTAATAATTATTTTAAAAAGTGACAATCATTAGCTATGTGTTTCTTCAGTATTCTGCTGAATACTGAAATATAAAGATATAACTGCGAAATGTAATTAATATGTTAAAAAATGTGAATACAAGGTAGAGTGTAATTATAATTCCTAGTTATTGGTGCAGACTGTCTCGGATATATTGACTCAGAAAAAGAGATTGAAAAAGCTCAAAGAAAGATGTTATGGTAAACATAAAGCAAATTTTTGTTGAATTAAATACATAATAAGCCTGAAAAGAGTAAAAAAAAAAAAAAAAAAAAATTACTGTCAAAATTTGGGTAGAAGGGACCCTAGAAATAGTGCATTTCAATGCTCTTAATTTAGAATTTTTGAAAGCTAGATTCAGGGATTTAGTTCAAGAAATATTTGTTTCAAAATAATTCAGTGAGTGGTACATCATGAAATAGGAGTATAGATTAAATGAGATTGATCGTGGGTTGATCATTGTTAAAGGTAGGTGATTGATACGTGGGGAGAGGTGTCATTGTGCTATTATCAGTTTGTGTATATGTAGGAAATTTTCCATAATTAAAAGTTTAAAAGTAAAAAAATGATTTTTGAGACAAGATTCAGACATAAGTTATTTTCCCAGGATACGATGATATCCTTGCTAAGCCTTGAAATCTAGGAATGATTTAAAGAAAGGAGAACAGTCCAAGCAAAGTAGATCATATGAGCAAAGGCACCAGGTATTACAGTTTTTTAGTGTCATGGCAGTAAAAGCCATGTTGTTAATTTGTGCAAGGGTGAAAAGAAAGAAACCATGAAAGGATATTCCTGAACTGATTCAGACTATCTGAAGTGCTGTCTTGCTGTATATTACGTGGCCTAGTACTGTCTTAGCAGTAGAATCTGGAATAGTGAAGAACACCCAGGCTTCTTATCTTACAGGAATTGTACTGCTTTCAGATTCAGAAACAGCTATTTGGTTGCTCTTTATGGAGACATTTATTTTAGGGCTTTGTACATTCCAGATACACATATTGTACAAGTGTCTTTTTCATTGTGAATTTGCATGATTTTTCCAAAATTGAGAATTTTAAAATTAGCCTCCCCATCTTGGGACTGTATTGCTTTGTGAACTCATTTTATTCTTTAAAACAATATTATTAAATTTATTAAACCATTCTCAGGAATGGTTACAAGCAGAACTTATTTGAGGAAAGCCATAGGCTAGTCTTTGCTGTTTGTACCATATGAAAATGAACTTAAATTAGAGGATGCACTATATCTGCAGTGCATGATAAATACAAGATGGATAGAGAATCTGTTCAGTAGTGTCAGCTACAAAAGCAAACATGATAAATGTTAATGCAGTTTTGAGCCCTGGGATAAGCTATTCAGTACACAAGCATAGCTGAATCTCTTTGCTATGTTGTTATTCATGGCAGCCAAATAAATGTCAATAATAAAAGAGAATTAAAGATTTTCATTTCCCAAAGGCAGTCCTCTAATACGGCTTGATCTTTCATTTCATTTGTAATTCGTTCTCATGTCAGGATGCAATCATTCACCAGGCTCTGAGTGTCATGTTAAGTCATTTAATAATGATTAAGAACATAAAAATGCTTGGCCTGTGGGGCAATTCACAGAAGAGATGCCAATTTGTTATTGTTTTCCTCCTTTCCTCTTGAATATGGATCAGCTTTTTTCCACCTCCTAGCATTAAAATACTAATGGAAGATGGGGAGAGAAAGGGTCCTTTAATTTACCATAAGTGACATTCCAGAATGGCACAAGGCAGTGCTAACACACTTATTAAAACGCTAATTAGGAATCACTGTGCCTTAAACCTCTCACTGTAGAGTCTTTTAAAATGATCACTGCTCAGTTTTCCACATTTATCAATAATGTAACAAAATCTGTTTCCTTGGTATTGTATTCTAGTGGCTGGTGCCCTTTTGAAATACAGTATCTATAAACCAGGAAGTGCCTGGGTGGTGCAAACAGTGAAGCACTCAGCTGCTACCTAAAAGTTTGGAATTCAAGTTTACCCAGAGGCACCTCAGAAGAAAGGCCTGGTGATCTAATTCCAAACAATCAGCCATTGAAAATCTATGGAGCACAATTCTATCCTGATGCACATGGGGTCACCATGAGTCAGAATTTGTCAACAGCAACTGGTTTTATTGGGTTTTTTTAAAATCTATAAACCACTTTCTCTTAGTTTATTAATAATTATTTTAATTTATATTGCCCATGAATCTAAAGTTTTTTTCCACTCACCCTGTTTTGGCCCTTCTCTTTCACCTCTATATCCATCTAACCCAAAGGTTCTATCTATCACATATCCATCATTCATTCAGTGCTTGCTGGCTGATTGAGTTCCAAACTCTTTAGGTGAGAAGGGTGGAGAGGTGGACACTGAAGAGTAATAAGAATAATAGGCTGGGATGGAGTGCAGTGAATTGCTTAATATGGCCCTTCTAACTACAGTGCTCCATTTTGCACTTTGTAAGTCCTAACCTCTGTGACTGTGGTTATGGTCCCATTTTGGGGTGAGTTGTCTCTTACATTGATGAGGCAGGATTCAGGTGGGATGTATCTTGAGTCCCGCCTTCCTGTAGGGTGTGAGTCAGGTCACCACCCTTAGTTTCCTTAAGGGTATGCATGTGAATGCTCTGGCAGAGTTCACTCTCTTGCTCTGGAGCCTGCAGATGGTTTGTCCTCATCGCATCTCCCATTCTTGGGACTTGAGACAGCAGCCAGTTGTCTGACTTGCCAATCTCGGTTTGTCAACCACATGAATGAGGAGAATCTTCCAAACACATGCCTGACCCATGGGACTTGCCAGTCTGCACCCTTCGTGAGCCATTTCCTTGGCAGTTTGTGAGTTCTGTGAGAAGTTACAGCAAAATACAGAATACTAAGATGGGAGAGAGTCCTGAGGGGAGGTGGAGGAGTTGATGTTTAAGGCGATGGAGTGGTGTAACAGTTTGAAAAGTTGGACATTTGGGACATCTTTAGCCTCCATCTCACAGGGACCAGCCTTGAACAACTCTGAAGAGTAATAACAGCAATAGGCTAGGATAGAGAACATAAAAGAAAACATGACTGTCCATTTTTATCCTTTTAATTTATGTTTAACAGAACTGTTTGGTAGCATAGGAATCAGGTCAGTGAAATCTTTTCGGTGTCTATAAGTCTTAGAAAACTAAGACCTTATTTACGGCAACTACTAATGAGGTCTTTTTACATTAAGACTTTATTAATTTAAGGATTGTAGTGAAATTAAATAAGCACACATACATACATATAGTGCTTTATAGAAAGTTTAAATGGTTTTACCAAATTTCTGTACTAAATGTATCACTAAAAATTAGAAAACACAAGAGGATTTTTTTCTAAATTGAAAATAATTCATTTCATAGCAGATCTTATAAGACAGTAAAATAAGTCTCAAACCAACCAACCAACAAAAAAAAAAACCCACTGATCGAGTTGATTCCAACTCATAGTGACCCTATAAGACAGAGTAGAATTGCCTCGTAGGGTTTCCTAGGCTGTAAATCTTTATGAAAGCAGACTGCCTCATCTTTCTCCTGCAAAGCAGTTGATGGGTTTGAACCCCCAACCTTTTGGTTAGCAGCCCAGGGCTTATAACCACAGTGCCACCAGAGTTCCTGGGTCTGTTGAACCTAAGAAAATAAGTCTACTGAAAAATAAATTGTAGACTTTTCTTTTCTGAATACTTTAAGTATTCTTTCTGGACTGTTTGATTGTAAGTTTGCCCAAAGGCAGAAAATAGATTAGTTCAGAGGTTTTCAACAGGAAAACTTTTGCTATCAGAATCACCTAGCAAGCTTTTAGTAAACACAGCCCTGCTTTCATAGAGGCACCATCCCCTCAATCTGATACAATCCCATGGGGAGTATTAGAATACATCCTCAAGAAGATGTAGAATGGAGTTGGGAGCGCTTGTTGAAGGAGAAAGATGTAGCATTGTCTATTTGTTGAAAAATAGTGACAATCATTAGCTATGTGTTTCTTCAGTTTGATTGTTGAAAAATCCTCCTTAGCTAGTTTCTTATCTAGTACTGCTGTAACAGAAATAACACAAGTGAATGACTTTAACAAACAGGTATTTATTCTTTCAGTTATGGACCTTAGAACTCTGAATTCAGGACACCAGCTCTAGGTGAAGGCTTTGTCTCTTTGTTGGCTCTGGGGGAAAGTCCTTGTC